TCATAGCAACCCTATAGGACAGAGTAGAACTGCCCCATAGGGTTTCCAAAGAGCGTGGTGGATTCGAACTGCTGACCTTTTGGTTAGCAGCTGTGCTCTTAACCACTGCGCCACCAGCGCTCTGGATTGTTTGTAAAGAAAATGTTTTTAAACCAGGGACTGCAACTGTATTCTCTCCTTGCTGCTAAATAGTTGAGTAGTCTGTAATACAAGGTGCCTTTGACTTAAAGCATTAAACCAGAAAAAAACCCAGATGCCCTCACTCAAGTCAGTTCTGACTCAGGGTGAATCCATGTATGTCAGAGTAGAACTGTGCTCCATAGGATTTTCAATGGCTGGTTTTTCTGGAAGTAGATTGCCAGGCCTTCCTTTTGATGTGCCCCTGGGTGGACTTGAACTTCCAACCTTTCAGCTGCATACTCAGGGACTTCCTACTTAAAGAATTGTTCTTAGCTGCCATTGAGTCACCTACTACCTCATGATAAGCCCATGCACAACAGAAGTAAACACTCAGTCCTGTGCCATCCCCACAATCCCTTGCTGATCAAACTGTTGTGATCTATAGGGTATTCACTGGCTGATTTTTGGCAGTAGATCACCAGGCTTTTCTTTCTAGTCTGTCTTAGTCTGGAAGCTCCGCTGAAACCTGTTCAGCATCAAAGCAACACCCAAGCCTCCCCTGACACATGGTGGTTCTGCATGAGGTGCATTGGCAGGGAATCAAACCTGGGTCTCCCTCATGGAAGACAAGAAATCTACCACTGAACCACCCATGTCTCCACACATAAAGCATTAAGCTGGTCATATTAAAAACTAGTACAATAGACAATTACGTGCTTATGAAATATGTACTATGCTCTCTAAAACTCAAATTTATTTCCTAAATTATTTGTTTTCCCATATGTGCAGTATCTTTACAGTCCCAGTCCACTTCACAGGATGTCCACTTGGCAGAACGTAAATTGGGGTGCTTTAATGTGAATTTCCATGGTCTTTTCCCAGATAAATTACATATTTTATATGTCACCCTTTGGATAGGTATAAAATGTTCCCCCTTTATTCTTATTTTTGATTTGAGAGAAAACTATGTAGTTTCTGAAATAAGAATATTTAGTTGTGTCTCAGGCTTTAAAAAAAATCACTTGTGTCATTTTGAATATTTTCTTGTTATATTGTCTGGTTGTGGTATCAAGGGTTACATTGTTGTTGTTAGTTGCCATCAAGTCAGTTCAACTCATGGTGACCCCATATGTGCAGAGTAGAATTGCTCTCATTTTAAATATTTTAATACCCCCAAAAATAATATAGGTAACTAACATTAGTTAAACAATAACATCACTGTTTTACAAGGCTTCCAGGAGGCTAACTTATAGCTAGGGAGGGCTGTGAATGAAGTGTATCAGTATCAATTTGCTCCTTTAATCAGATGATAATGAGTTTTGGAAACCGTCATATTTGGTCGGTAAATTTTCTACCCTGTAACTAAAAAAATTCCTGTTTATTACCAGATCCTAGAACCCTATCGATATTGTCTCTGCTGTGTAAATAGTTCTGAGTAGTGCAATATTGCTTATAGGGTTTTAGTGTTTGGGAAGAACAATGGGCAGGCTACAGAAACTATGTAGCTGAAACTGAAGCAATGGTTATCTTTGCTTAGGAAGAAAACAAATAGTAGAATCTAGTTTTCACTATGAATATAGAAATCTGGGGTTGGAATGTCAAGTTTAATTTATTAGAAGGCAACAATTAATCTTTTTCAAGTTTTAATATTTGATAAATTAAACTTGGGTTTATTTGTAGTAGTATAATGAAAGAATAGGAGCCCTGATGGTGCAGTGGTTAAGAACTCAGCTGCTAACCAAAAGGTCGGTAGCTTGAATCCACTAGCTGCTACTTGGAAACCCTATGGGGCAGTTCTACTTTGTCCTATAGGGTTGTTGCTGTGAGTTGGAATCGTAAAATTTCAGTGTTGAAAGGGGCCTTAGATTCCAACTCTTCTCATTTAATAGGAGACACTCAGAGAGATGAGGGATTTACCTAAGGTCACAGAGCTTCATTAGTGATACCAGGGCTAGAACCCAAGTATACCAATTCCTTTTTTATTTTCCTGTACCATCCTACCAGGTTGTGTTCAGAAGGAATGTTTAATTGACTAACTTTACATTTTAGTGATAGTAGATTTAAAACTTTTAAAAAACGATTTAATTTTAGGTAAATAATTTACTTTTTTTATTCCGTCTATATGACTGTTATTGGCTTTGATGTCACGTATTGTTAGGTGCTGTTGAGTTGATTTTTAACTCATAGTGACCCCATGTTGACAGAGTAGAACTGCCCTATAGGGTTTTTTTGGCTGTAGTCTTTATGGAAGCAAATTGCCAGGTCTTTTCTCCTGTGGAGCTGCTGGCTGGGTTTGAACCACCAGCCTTTGGGTTAGCAGTCTAACGTTTAACTGTTGTGCCACCAGGGCTTCTTGATGTCATGTATAACTTTGGTCTAACTCTGTAACAAACTTGGAGTAATGAAAATAGAGCTAGAGGCAAGTAACTTAGCCTATTTCCTCATTTGTAAAATGAAGGGTTCAGATCAGAGAATCTTAAAATTGTTTTTCTATCTCTAAACATTGCATTGGTATCCTTTTTCCTTTTTAGTCACCTGCTTATTCCCTAGCCAATTTCCCTGGTATAAAAACTTCCACTCTGGTCAATTTCAAGCTACCAGCATGATGCCATTGAAAGTAGAGTTGGGAAGAGATCCATAGTAGCACACCATTATATAGTATTTCCACTGTACAGATAAAAAGACATAAATAACCTCAAGAGCATAGGTAATAGTAAAATGTAAAATGATTAGGATATGATGATTTTTGAGTCTGTATTATTTTTGTTGAGGTTCTCTTGGTGGTGCAAATGCTTTGAACTTGGCTACTAACCAAAAGATTTGTGGTTTGAATCCACTCAGTGGCATCTCTGAAGAAAGGCCTGGCAATCTGTTCTGTAATATTACAGCCATTGAAAACCCAATGGAGTACAGTTCTACTGTGATACACATGAGTTTGCCATGAATCGGAATCGACTTGACAGCAGTAGGTTTGGTATATTATCTTTGTTTTTAATGACTTATTAAATTGTAAATTAATACAATTTAATTTTTAATGATGGGTATGTTTAACAATTGACTTGCAAAAAAATCTTGAAAATTTAGCCGGCTCTTGCATACCACTGATTGAAAGAGAACTCTTTGGAATCTTATTAATTTTAAGTTACTTAAAAGCAGGAACCACTTCTTTTTGGTACCATTTGATGATTAATACATTGTGGGCTCCCAGGTATCACAGGAAGCTGTAGCTGAAAACAGTCTTCTTGTAAAAGAACACATTGTTGAAAGGACTGTGGGATAATCCTAGTTAAACTATAAGCAGAACTAAAATATTAAGTTAAAAAACACAGGCTTAAGAATTGCTGTTTCATAACTAAACCCACTGCTGTCGAGACGATTCCGACTCATAGTGACCCTATAGGACAGAGTGGAACTGCCCCATAGGGTTTCTGATGATGGGTTTCCAAGGCTGAAGCAGACTGCCACATCTTTCTCCTGCTGAGCAGCGGGTGTGTTCAAACTGCCGCCTTTCGGTTAGCAGCCCGGTGCTTAACCACTGTGCCACTAGGACTCCTTATAAACAGGCTTTACCTGTTACCTGTTGCCTTTGAGTTGATTCTGACTCATAGTGACCCTATAGGACAGAGTAGAACTGCCACATAGGGTTTCCAAGGAGGGGCTGGTGGATTCAAACTGCTGACCTTTTTGGTTAGCAGCTGAGCTCTTAACCATTGTACCACCAGGGCGCCTATGAACAGGCTTAGGGGTCCTAAAATGTAGATTCTGTTTTAAGGTAGCTTTGAAGCCACAAATCCTATAATCTTAAGAATTTTGTGGTAACTTTCAAATGACTAAGATAAACTTTAAAACTTATTTAAAATTGTGCTTTAGAATCTTATGTAAGACCTTGAAATTATAGTCTATTTCAATAATTAAAACAAAACAAAGATAATCAGGTCTTGAGTGCTTAGACCCTTTGTTTATTTTGATTTGCTGATTTTCTTGCTCCCTTCCCCATTCTCTCTACTCACATGTTATATAGATTAGTCCACCTTTTCTTTTTTTTTTTTTAAGGAAACAGTAATCACTGAGCATATTCTAATAGTCTAATATGGGAAATTATGCCAACAGGAATTTATTTTATTGTATTGTTGTGCTTTAAGTGAAAGTTTACAATTTAAGTTAGTCTCACATACGAAAATTTATACATACATTGTTATGTGACCCTGGTTGCTCTCCCGATACTGTGACAGCACACTCCTCCTTTTCACCCCAGATTTCCTGTGTCCATTCAACCAGCTCCTGACCCTCTCTGCCTTCTCATCTCGCCTCTGGACAGGAGCTGCCCCTTTAGTCTCATGTGTCTACTTGAGCTAAGAAGCACACTCTTCATGAGTATCGTTTTATGTCCCATAGTGCAGTCTAATCTTTGTCTGAAGAGTTGGCCTCGGGAATGGTTTTAGTTTTGTGCTAACAGAGAGTCCGGGGGTCATGTCTTCCGGGGTCCCTCCAGTCTCAATCAAACCATTAAGTCTGGTCTTTTTACTAGAATTTGAGTTCTGTACCCGACTTTTCTCCTGCTCCAGCGGGGACTCTGTTGTGTTCCCTATCAGGGCAGTCATTGGTGGTAGCCGGGCACCATCTAGTTTTTCTGGTCTCAGGCTGATGAAGTCTCTGGTTTATGTGGCTCTTTCTGTTTCCTGGGCTAATACTTTCCTTGTGTCTTTGGTGTTCTTCATTCTCCTTTGCTCCAGGTGGGTTGGGACCAATTGATGCATCTTAGATGGCCGCTCACTAGCTTTTAAGATCCCAGACACCACTCACCAAAGTGGGATGCAGAACATTTTCTTAATAAACTTTGTTATGCCAATTGACTTAGATGTCCCCTGAAAGGAATTTCTTTATATACAGATACATAAGTATATATATAATACACACATATAAACACACACATATATACACATATAGTGATTATCAGTGTCTTATATACTTGTTAGATGTTATGGTTAAATTAATAATTAGACTTCTAAATACTAATAATTACTATATATATGTGTGTGTGTATATATATGTATGTTGTTGTTCTTAGGTGCCATCGCATTGCTTCCAACTCAGCAACCCTGTGTACAACAGAATGAAACACTGGTGAGTCCTGAGCCACCCTCACAATCGTTGCTATGGTTGAGCCCATTGTTGCAGCCACTGTGTCAGTCCATTTCGTTGAGGGTCTTCCTCTTTTGCGATGACCCTCTACTTTTCCAAGCATGATGTCCTCCTCCAGGGACTGGTCCCTCCTGATAACATGTCCAAAGTACGTGAGAGGAAGTCTCTTGCCATCCTTGCTTCTAAGGAGCATTCTGGCTGTACTTCTTCCAAGACAGATTTGTTCATTTTTCTAGCAGTCCATGGTATATTCAATATTCTTCACCAACACCATAATTCAAAGGCATTGATTCTTTGGTCTTCCTTATTCACTGTCCCGCTTTCACATACATATGAGTCTATTGAAAATACCATGGCTTGGGTCAGGTGCACCTAGTCCTCAAAGTGACATCTTTGCTTTTTAATGCTTTAAAGAGGTCTTTTGCATTAGATTTGCCCAATGCAATATGTCATTTGATTTCTTATCTGCTGCTTCCATGGGCGTTGATTGTCGATCGAAGTAAAATGAAATCCTTGACAGCTTCAGTATTTTTTCCATTTATCATGATGTTGCTTATTGGTCCAATTGTGAGTGTTTTCGTTTTCTTTATGTTGAGATATAATCCATAATGAAGGCTGTATGTAGTCTTTGATCTTTAGCAGTTAAGTGCCTCAAGTCCTCTTCACTTTCAGCAAGCAAGGTTGTGGCATCTGCATATTGCAGGTTGTTAATGAGTCTTCATCTAATCCTGATGCCGTGTTCTTCTTCATGTAGTCCAGTTTCTGGGATTATCTGCTCAACATACAGATTGAATAAGTATGGTGAAAGGATACAACCCTGACACACACCTTTCCTGATTTTAAACCACACATTGTGCAGGTTCCTCATGAGCACAATTAAGTGTTCTGGAATTCCCATTCTTCGCAGTGTTATCCATAATTTGTTATAATCCGTACAGTCGAATGCCTTTGCATAGTCAGTAAAACACAGGTAAACCTCTTTCTGGTATTCTCTGCTTTCAGCCAAGATCCATCTTACATCAGCAGTGATATCCCTCGTTCCACATCTTCTTCTGAATCTGGCTTGAATTTATGGCAGTTCCCTGTCAACGTTACTGCTGTAACCATTTTTTAATTATCTTCAGCAGAATTTTACTTGTGTGTGATATTAATGATATTGTTCAGTAATTTCCACATTCTGTTGGAAATCCTTTCTTTGGAATGGGCACAAATCTGGGTCTCTTCCAGTCGGTTGGCCAGGTAGCTGTCTTCCACGTTTCTTGGCATAGAGGAGTGAGTATTTCCAGCATTGCATTGTTTGTTGAAACATCTCAGTTGATATTCCATGCCTTCAGTGCAGCTTGGACTTTTTTCTTCAGTACCATCGGTTCTTGATCATATGCTACCTCCTAAAATGGTTGCATGTTGACAATTCTTTTCTGTACAGTGACTCAGTATTCTTTCCATCATCTTCAGTTCTTTCAGCTTGAGAAATGCTGAGCGTGTTCTTCCCTTTTGGTTTTCTAACTCCAGGTCTATGTATATTTCATTATAATACTTTGTCTTCTGGAGCCTCCCTTTGAAATCTTCTGTTCAGCTCTTTTACTTCATCATTTCTTCTATTTGCTTTAACTATTCTGTGTTCAAGAGCAAGTTTCAGAGTCTCTTCTGACATCCATTTTAGACTTTTCTTTCTTTCCTGTGTTTATAATGACCTTTTGCTTTCTTCATGTATGATGTCCTTGATGTCGTCTCGCAACTCATCTGGTCTTTGGTCATTAGTGTTCAATATGACAAATGATAAGCCTCCATTTTTGGAAAACATTTTAAACATAGTTTGCAATTAAGTACCTAATGTTTATTTTTCTAGCTTGCAGCAACTCCCTGCAGTTAGAGATGGAAATCTGATACCGACTCTTTGAAAATATTTTCAAAATAAAAACTGGCTTCCTCTTTCCTTCTATATCTACCCTAAAAGTTTTTGGTTATAAAAATAGGATTTTAGTAATTGCAAGGTATTCCATTATAATCTAGGCCCATGATAAGAAGTTATTACTGATGGAACCTTTAGTTTATCTATTTCTGAAATTCTGTTCAATGACCGCTTCTGACCTTAGAAGCATTTTAACTTCTGAGAACCATTTTGTCTTACTCTGCATTCCAGAATAGGGCCCTTGCTTTACCTTTTATATAATCAAAATTGTTTCTTATTAAACCTGAGAAGTGCTTTTTACAGTTTTTTTTCCTTCTGTTTTCTGTCTTTCCCACTAAGGCTTCAAAACCTCAGGAACCAATGTTTAGTCCAGAGCTGAAGTTTATAGTAAGATCTCAACTTCACCGAAGAGTCTCCTAGGCTCTGGCCTAGGAAGGCGAGCCCATTTCTGAGGAAGTCATGTTTTGCCTTCCATAGTAGGCTCTAAGGCCCAGAGAGTTGTTTCCCTGATAAATTCAAGGTATTATGTGCTATAAGATCATGTCACAGATGCAGAGTTTCTAAAAATGAAGAATAATTTATCGATAATACTGCACTAGAGATAAGCTACTTTAAACACTCTGATATATGTCCTTTCCAACTTTTCTATATGTACACACATATTTTACAAACAGGGGTCATACCATACCCAGTGCTATTAGTTTTTTTTTAAAATTTAACAAATAATAACTACTTATTACAAGTACTACAGAAATATATGTGAAGTTAAAAGTGAAAGCCCTTCTCAGCATAGTTGTTAATCTTTGTATACCATCATTTTCAGTAACTGCACTGTATTCCAGATATTGACTTCACGTGTAACTTTTCACTCCATTTTAGTTATCCTATATCCCTGATGGCTTGTGGCAGTTCTCCTTTTTTTCTCTTCCTTAGGGGTCTGCTACAGATCAAGGTCTCCTGCTAGGACCTAGGTTCAACACGTTAGGATTGTTTAGACTGCTATTCCTTTACCATAGGTAGTTTTTTATTTTTATTTTTTCTTGTATAATTTGTGACTCTAAGCCCTCTAATTTTGGTCTCTGTGGCATATATCTGTAGCTCTTTTGTTTAATGGGATGGTAAATAATGGTAACAGTGAGTACCCCTGAAAATCAATTTGTTCTGTGTTTTGACTTGAAACCATATTTCCTGTCAGAGGTAGAAAAAACACTGCCTAACTGTGAGTGTCACCCAGCCCTAGGGAATTCCTGAAGTCATTATTAGTTTTTTGTATTGACATATAAGAGAATGGCTACTTAGTATCTTAATTTTAGTTCAAAATCTAAGAGTGATACATAAAGAAATGACTGGAATATATTATTTCAAAAAGTTAGTTTAAGATTTTTACTAGAGGATAGGGATTATTATGATAGAAGTTTTATATGCTTTTTTATTTCCACATTTTAAAAATGAGTGTATATCTCATATTTATTATTAAAGTCCTAAAAAATATAAAGGGGAAAGAAATAATAATCAAAGTATTATTAATGTGTCTTTTATTTCACAAAATAATGATTTGTGCTAATCTTTAGTTCCAGAAAGCTGATTCTGATCTGGATTGCATTCTGTACAGGCTGGAATATGAAATCAAGAACAATCATCCTGATTCAGCTGGCGTGGTAATCTGCAAAACAAACGTCTTTTTTTTTTTTTTTTTAAACAAATATGTCTTTCAACTGAATATTTTATAGTAATTTTTGATGGTATATCTAATAGTATTAGATGTATAGAAAACAGTTATATTATTAAATACTAAGTTTATAGAATCTTAAAATCTTATTTTTGTTGTCTTAGAAGCTTGGTCACAACATGCTAAAGATATTGTATCCACAGTCAGGAATTGTGGGTGCTGGTTTTTTTTTTTTTTTTTTTTTTTTTAAACCTTAAAGTAAGAATCATTGAGTCCAGAGGTACAAACCACTGTGGAAGCCTCTGAAATTCTGAGAGGGAATATAAATACCTCTAAGGCAGTGGAGAGGAGCCCTGGTGGCACAATGGTTAAGCACTTGGTTGTGGCAGTTCTCCCTGTTTTTCCTCGGTTGGTGGTTCGAACCTACCAGCCTTCTCGGGAGAAAGATGTGGCAGTCTGCTCCCGTAAAGATTACAGCCTTGGAAACCCTGTGGGGCAGTTTTACTCTGTCTTATAGGGTCAGTGTTAGTCAGAATCCAGTCTATGTTAACGAGTTTGGGTTTGGTTTTCTAGGGCAGTGGTTCTTAAACAAGTTTGGGGTGAGAAGTCCTGGCATTCATGGTATTCTCTGTGGAAGATAATGATATACTGCTAATTTGTTTAATTATATGATATGAACTGTGATTTTTGCATAAAATTGTAGTTAGTTATTCCATGTTTAGGTTGATTATCAATGTTAACTCTGTTTATGTGCCATAAAATATAACTGTAAGTACACGTGCCCATGGGGATAAAAGCAAATTATTTTTAAGGATTGTCTGTTGATGTTAATTTACCACTTAAATAATTAATGTTTATCTTTGGTAGCACTTGCCAGCAGACAAGCGATATATTTTCAAGTTAAAAAAAAATTCCATAAAATTGAAAAAATTTTTGGATTGGGTGAGATGTTATCAAAGTAACATTTTATATAAAACTGGGGAAACATCATGAATGTTCAGTTTTTACTGTAGAATGCCAGAATTCTACGAGAATGCAGTTTAAACTGTTCTTGCTCCCTAACTGACTTGACTTTTCCTTGTCTTTTCCCCTTCTTTCTGACTGAAGAGCAACCAACCAATTCTGGTCCAGTGATATCACGTAAGGGCTGGCCAAAGGACTCATCTGAGTCAGTATCTTTCAAGTACTTCGTGGAAGACCGTCTCATATGGTGCTTCCACTTTTCCTCTGCCTTCCATCTCTCATATTTGTTCCACTTTGAGTCATTTTTCTTTTCTACAGTTTTTTTCTAATAGCTTTATTGTATAATTTACAGGCCATAAAATATTGACTCTATTCAATAACTTTTTGCATACCTGTAACATTTATCCAATAACTTCAAGAAAATCTCTTCTTTTTTCCCCTTTTGTATGTTACAGTTGGGAGCAAAACCATGATCTTAATCTTTGTAGATCTGTCCAACATTAGTCTTAATGATTATATGTGTATCAAGGAACAGGAAAATAAACAACCAGTTGAAGTAATTACTAATACCTCTACATGGTGGTAGGGTGGTAGTAGTGGTGGTAAACATTCATTGAGCATTACTATATGCCAAGCATTGTAATGTGTGTTTGTGTATGTGTGTTCTCACTCCCACAGACATACATATAATTTTATTTAGCTGCCATTTGTGATTTAGAGACTGTCAGTGATTCAGCATAAAAGAGCCTTTTTGACTAGGATATATGTAGATATAAAATAAACTACAAGTTCCTATTACTATGTTCTTCTCCATCATTTGTTTCAGAAAGATAATTCTATTTTATGAGCATTTTCCTTGTTTAGTAGCACAACTGATAGCATATTTCCTTTTGTTTCTTTCAAAAGACTTAATTAAGTTGAGCTTTTTGCTCAAGAGAATTGACTTTTCTTTTCCCTCATCACGAGCACTATCATTAGCAGAATACTTCTTGTATATTCTTATGACCTTTTATTACCCACTTATGATAAATCATAGCCCTAAAATGAATTCAGGTGTTGCAGGCACAAAATTAAATAGAGAACAGGACAGTTTACAAACACCAATAAAAGAATACAGTGTCTCTCAAGGAGCTAGTCATTCAAACAAATCAGTATTTTTCTAGGCTATGTGTATACGTTTTTTCTTCTGTGATGTGGCGCTAAGTCCTGACCACTGTGTAGTCATAATTGGGACATATATTGCAAATCATGTTATCCTGAATCAGTCATTTCCATATCAGTCTTATTAGATCCAGTTAATGTCACAAAAACATGTAGTGTGATTTATCCTATACTACTCTGTCTTAATTATCTAGTGCTGCTATTTAACAGAAATACCTCAAATGGATAGCTTTAACAAACAAGTTTATTTGCTCATAATCTAGTAGTCTAGAAGTCCTAGTCCCCTGGTCTAGAAGTTTCTCAGCGCAGGGATCCCAGGTCCAAAGGACGCACTCTGCTCCTGGCACTACTTTTTTGTTGGTATAAGGTCCTGCTGTCTCTCTCCTGGCTTTTCTCTTATATCTCAAAAGAGATGGATTTAAGACACACCCTAATCTTGTAGTTTGAGTCCTGCCTCATTAACATAACTGCCTCTAATCCTGCCTCATTAACACCTTAGAGGTAGGATTTACAAGACAAAGGAAAATCACATCGGATGACAAAATGATGGACAATCACACAATACTGGGAATCATGGACTAGCCAAATTGACAGATATCTTTGGGGGACACAATTCAATCCATAACCTATTGTATCCTAACTTTTTTAGCTCACTTGCTGTTTATTCTTTATGCTTGATTCTCCAGTTCTTCCTTTCCTAATTTTGGGAGATTATCAAGGGTTAGTTCTTGCCTCATTTTTTTTCACTATAAATTTTTATTTGGGAAATACATCGGTCTCTGGGCACTTCACTACTCAGCTCTAGTCCAGTTATCTAAAGTCATTTATACTTACATGATTCATTGTCACCTTACACTTGATGTTTTCTTCTCTCACACCAATTTTCCTCCCACTTTTAATTTTTTTTATCAAACTAATTCATGTATATACAATTTGAAAAGTCACAGAACTATAAAGCTTATAATTACAAACAGCAATTCTTTGCTTTACACTATCCCACTCCCAAGAGGGCCACCACTTTATTTCAGCTTCTTGTACTTACCCCTATACTTCTAAATAGTATACTTATGTTGCTACTTTTTTTTTTTTCTGGTCTGATTTCCTGAATGCAGTCTGTTCTAATTCAAATCCCAGTTCTGCCTTTTACTACCATTTTGATCTTAGGCAAGTCAGTAAACCTGTTGTAGTTTAGTTTCCTCATCTGTAAAATGGGAATTTTACTGCCTACTTCACAGTTTGAGAGAGGATAAAATTAGTTAACATATGTAATGTGCTTGGGTGGTGGTGCAAACGGTTTGCAATCAGCTGCTAACCTAAAGGTTGGCAGTTTGAACCCACCAGCAGCTCTGTGGAAGAAAGGCCTGGTGACCTGCTTTCCTAAAGATTACAGCCAAGAAAACCCTGTGGGGTAGTTCTACTCTGTAACACATGGAATTTGTGTATATTCATGGGGATAGTATATATTATGTCCCCATGATACTGTGTGTATTAGTTTCTGGCTTAAAACAACAGAAATTTGTTCTCTTACAGTTCTGGAGGCCACAAATCCAAAATCAAGTCATCAGCAAGGCCACACTCCTTCTGAAGGCTCTGGGAAGAATCTGTTCCATGTCCCTCTCCTATCTTCTGGAGATTGCTGCACTCCTTGGCATTTCTTGGCTTATAGAGCCATTACTCCAATCTCTGGATTCACATTGTGTTTTCTCTGTGCCGAAATTTCCCTTTTAGAAGGACACCAATCACTGGATTAGGGCCTACCCTCTACTGCCCACCCTAATCCAGTATGACCTCATTTTAACTTGATTTCATCTGCAAAGACTTTCTGAGTAAGGTCACATTCACAGGCACTGGGGGCTAGGACTTGAACATATCTTTTTGGGGGATACAATTTAACCCACAACAGTGTGTTTAAGAATTTTGTAAGTGCTTTCAAGTTTTTTGTATTAAGAGCAAATCCAAATGCCTTTTATGATCTTCTAAATAGTATTTAGAATTATATTTTAGAAATACTGTATAATTTATGACTGCGAACTATACATCAAAATGTTATGTGTCTAAAGTGGCCTTATTTGCTGCACAACACTACTGATTTTTTGTGGTTTATTTCTGTACCTAGACTATAAATTCCTTGAGAATAGGATCTAGGTCTTATACTTCTCTCTTTCTTCCCCATTTCCCTTATTCTGGTGCATAGCTGAACAGACTGACTTTCTTATAATTAAATACTCACTCAACAGTGTTCTATTAAATAGATGATAGAATATGTTGTGTATATTTTAATTCTTAAAAGGAGGTTTATTTTTCCCTTCATGAGTTAATATATATTAACTTTTTTCCTAATGTAGAAAAATCCTGTTACACTCTTGAAGGAACTATCGGCGATAAAGTCTCGATATCAGACTTTGCATACACGCTTTAAACCAATTGCTGTTGAACAGAAAGAGACTAAGGGCCACATTTGTGTTATTTTGAATAAGACTATGACCATGATACAAGAACTACAAAAGCTAACAGACATGGAGGTAATGTTTCCATTTTTTAAATTATTTTATCCTTTTTACCATTTCTTTTTATTTATTTATTGTGCTTTAGGCGAAAGTTAACAAAGCAAATTAATTTCTTATTGAAAAATTTATACACAAATTGTTTTGTAACATTGGTTGCAATCCCTGCAATGTGTCAGCACTCTCCCCCTTTCCACCTCGGGTTCCCTGTGTCCATTCGTCCAGTTTTCCTATCCCTTCCTGTTGTCTTATCTTTGCTTTTGGGCAGGTGTAATCCATTTGGTCTCATATAGTTGATTGAACTAAGAAGCATATTCCTAACGTGTTATTGTTTAATAGGCCTGTCTAATCTTTGGCTGAAAGGTGGACTTTGGGAGTGGCTTCAGTTCTGAGTTAGCAGGGTGTCCAGGGGCCATAGTCTCGGGGTTCCTCCAGTCTCTGTCAGACCAGTAAGTCTGGTCTTTTTTTGTGACTTTGAATTTTGTTCTACATTTTTGTCCTGCTCTGTCTGGGACCCTCTATTGTGATCCCTGTCAGAGGGGTCAGTGGTGGTAGCCAGGCACCATCTAGTTCTTCTGGGCTCAGGCTAGTGGAGGCTGTGGTTCATGTGGTCCATTAATCCTTTGGACTAATATTTTTCTTGTGTCTTTGGTTTTCTTCATTCTCTTTTGCTCTGGATGTGATGGGACTAATAGATGTATCTTAGATGGCCGCTTGCAAGCTTTTAAGACCCCAGACGCTGCTCTCCAAAGTAGGATGTAGAACATTTTCTTTGTGAACTATGTATCTATATGTCCCCTGAGACTATGGTCCCTAGCTCTCAGCCCCAGTAACTTGGACCTTCAAGGTGTTTGGATGTGTTTAGGAAGCTTCTATGACTTTGCCTTGGTCAAGTTGTGCTGACTTTCCCTATATTGTATGTTGTATTTCCCTTTACCAAAGTTAACACTTGTCTACTATCTAGTTAGTGATTTAGATTATTTTATTTTTGTTGTTGTTGAGAGTATACACAACAGAACATACACAAATTTGACAATTTCTACACGTACAATTCAGTGACATTGATTACATTCTTCAAGTTGTGCAACCATTTTCACCCTCCTTTTCTGAGTTGTTCCTCCCCCATTAACATAAACTCACTGCCTTCTAAGTTTCCTATCTAATCTTTTGAGTTGCTGTTGTCAATTTGATCACATATAGATAGATCTTAAAAGAGCATAATACTCTAGGCAGACATCATTTACTAGTTTAGCTAAACCATGATTTGGTTTTAAGAAGACTTCAGGGGATATTTTTGGCTTAAGTTTTAAAGATTATCTCAGGGCAATAGTTTTTGGGGTTTCATCCAGTCTCAGTGGCTCCAGAAAATCTGGATTCCATAAGAATTTGTAATTCTGTTCTGTATTTTTCCCATTTTGATCAGGATCTTCTATAGAATCTTTGATCAAAATATTCAGTCATGGTAGCTGGGCACCATCCAGTTCTTCTGGTCTCATGGCAAAGGGAGCAATTGTTAATGGAGATAATTAGCCAAATATTCTATTCCTGACTCTTCTTCTTCCTCTGTTGCTCCAGGTGAATAGAGACCGATTGTTGTACCTTGGATGGCCTCTTGCAAGCTTTTAAGGCCCCAGGCACTACACAATAAACTAGGAGGTAGAACAGAGGCACTAAACAGAGGCCAATTAACTGGGATGTCCCATGAAACCATGATCCTCAAACCTCCAAACCAAGGAACCAAATCCCATGAGGTGTTTGGTTGTATATAAACAGCTTCAGGAGCTACTCTTTTTTTTTTTGGTTGTTGTAAATGTATCTATCATACAGCTTTTGCCAATTCAACTTTTTACAGGTGTATAACTTATTGAAAGCAATTACATTAATCATCTGTGTAACCCTACCTTTAATCAATGTGATTTTTCCAGTACCTCGTAAACTGAAACTAAGTGCTCCATAAACAAACATCTCCTGGTTCCCCCTGCCTCCACCCCTGGTAACCACTAATAAATTTTGGTCTCTATTCATTTGCTTGTTCTTGTCTTTCTATACAAGTGGGGTCATACAATATTTGTTTTTTGTGATTATTTCACTCAGCATACTGTCTTCATGTTGTGGCATGTATCAAGACTTCATTTCTTTTACTGGCAGAGTAGTATTCCATTGTATGTACGTACCACATTTTGTTTATCTGTTCATCCATTGATAGGCATTTAGGTTGTTCCCACTTTTTGGCTATTGTGAATAGTGGTGTAATGAACATTGGTATACAAACATCTGTTTTGAGTCTCTGCTTTCAAATCTTTTGGGTATATACTTAGGAGTGGAATTGCTAGGTCATATGGTAGTTCTATTTTCAGTTTTCTGAAGAACCACTCCACTGTTTTTCACAATGGCTGTACCATTTTGCATTCCCACTAGCAATGGATAAAGGTTCCAATTGCAGGTAATGCTTTCAGTTGATAAGTTGGATTTGCATAGTTTTCATTCTGAGTGTAGGAGTCTAAGATAAACCCTCAGTAACTTGCATTTTGAAATTCAGCAATCAGTTTGCTGAATTGATGGATAGAAATGAGAGTTTCTTATGTATTCCTAGAGTACTTTATAACCTTTATCATAGCACGTAACTTACACCTTCAGCCTAGAGTTAGAATTACCTGTCTGTGTTTTACTACCTTAATAGACTGTAAGCTCTAAAGTTACAGTACAGGACTGGGGGATTAATACCGGTATTTCACCAGAAGGTACAGTGACTTATATGAAAGAGGCCCTAAGTGATGACTCATTGAGTTGAATCACTTAATGCATTTCTGTTTTCATTCTCACAAGGGAGGCATTCCTGGAAATAGGCCTTAATTCAGTAAATTTTAGGCACTAAGACATTTCAGTGGAGGAGATCGTTGGGAGATTTTGCTGGGGGTGGACAGAGGATGAAGTCACTGGTTATTTTGACGTACTTCCATTCCTGGTCTGGGTAATTAGCCATTTCTTTCTGATTGTGCCTAGTATATTCTAGGCACTTTGTTTCTATGCAGAATAATTTTATGTGCTGATTTTCACAAACCTACACCCCTGTGGTTTCAGTTCATGACATCACTCATGTAACAAGTCTGAGTCTTCTGTTTTCCCTTTTTCTTACTTCCCTCATCCAATCTACAGCTAAGTCCTGTCGTTTCTACCTCAACAGTCTTTCACATCTCTTTCCTGCTCACCTTTATAGTTTTAATAGCCTCTCAGTTTCTCATCTCACCCCCCAGCCTACTTTATACACAATAGTAGATTCATCTTACTGAAACACAGCTCTGACCGTGTACCTCATGTATGTGTTCTATTTCCCCAGCTAGACCGTAAGTTCCTTATGGGCAGGATCTGCGTCTGAGTCATCATTGTATCTCCCATAGCACCTATCAATAAATATTTCTTGAATGAACAAAAAAAAAAAACAAAAAGATTTTTCTTGATTCTCTAAAGCATAGTGGCTGACACTCTCTTTTTATTTTGAAGTAAGCGTGTGGACTGGACATGGTTAATGAAGAGGTGTGTTGTCTTTGATTATGTAACCATGTCAGAAGAAAAAACTTGCTAATACTTATTCTACCACAAAAAAGAGACAGAGAGAAGAGAAAGATAGTAGAGAAAATACAGGTGTGATACTCTATCTTGTGTGAATTATAAAAGGTTTAAGACTGATTGGGAGACTTCAAAAATAAACCATTATATTGTTAGAATTTTTATGATCCAAATATTGAAGAAAAGGGAATAGTGCCTGTAGAGAGCTGTATAACCAAACACAGCTCTATGAGCCTAGGGTTCAAGGGACATTCAAGGTAGATAGACTTTGTAAAGGAGTATCAAGTATAAAAAGGTATACATCAGTCACAGGGACAGACCTATGAGAATAGTTAGGAAAGCCAAAGGCCAGATTGAGCTGAGGCCTCTGAAATTTTCTAGAATAACCAAAATATCCCTTAAAGTTATTCTGGGAACATGAAGAAGAAAGGGATAATTGTGCTTAGCACAAATGGTGGCTTGTTTATAGACAAGAGAAAGTAAACAGAAAGTAAAACTGTTCAGGTATTATCTTGCAAGAATCTTTATTAATGAGAGTGGTTTTCCATTTGGAAGGGTAGGAAAATGTATTTTGAGAAGCATTTGAATTGATAAATAATAAAGCGATGAGAACAGAGAAGGAGGTGGGAGCAAGGGAATACATACTGATTTCTTCACTGATATTAAGACATTGATGTTTAAGTATACTTAATTACAAAGATGATCACTAAAAGAGGAAAAAAAAGGAGGGGGGGACCTGTCTTAGTCATCTAGGGCTGCTATAGTAGAAATAACACAAATGGGTTGCTTTAACAAACAGAAATTTATTCTCTCTCAGTTTATGAGGCTAGGAGTCTGAATTCGGGGCATCATCCCCAGGGGAAGCCTTTCTCTCTCTGTTAGCTCTCGGGGAAGGTCCTTGTCATCAGTCTTCCCCTGGGTCTAGGAATTTCTCAGCAGAGACCCTGGGTCCAAAGGATGTGCTCCACTCCACTCCTGGCTCTTCTTTCTTGATGGTAGGAAGTCCCTCCTCTGCTTGCTTCTCCTTTTATTTCTTGTAAGATAAAAGGTGTGACTCAAGCCAGAGTGGTGTATCCCACCCTAATCCTCATTAACATAACCTAATTATGGCTCATTAACATAATGGACAACTCACTCCCAAATGGGGCCATAACTGCAGGCATTGAGGACAACCACACAATACTGGGAATCACAGCCTAGCCAAGTATACATGAATTTTGGGGGGACATAATTCAATCCATGACTGGACCTAAATCACCCCCCTGAGAAAAACAACAAAAATATAACAAAAAATAGAAAATAGAAGCGTTCAAAACTCAATGTGTGGTATTCCACTGGAACTCCAAAACCTTTGAGTAAAAGAAAAAAAAAAAAGTTCTACAAACTTTAGAACGGTTAACTTGACCTTAATCTCTAGAAAAATTCTTCGAAGCTTTATTAAACAGATAGTCTGAAAATTCTTGAACTGTGATTACAAGGAGCAACAAAGATTAATGGAGAACAAACAATTCTTGCCAGAATAATTCCATTTCCTTCTTTTAAGGGTAGAAGAGGAAAATATTTGGGTTGTAGTAAGGCATATGATTGTTTTTCATTTTATCCTTGTGAACATTTTGGTCAAATATGTGCTTGTTTAGTAGTTGCCAAAACTGGCTACATATCAGAATCATGTAGGTTCTGGAGCTCTTTGCCTAGATCTGGGCTGTAAAGTAGTCACATATGGCTATAAATCCCCAAACCCATTGTTGTTGAGTTGATTCCGATGCATAGCGACCCTGTAGGACAGAGTAGAACTGCCCCATAGAGTTTCCAAGGATTCGAACTGCTGACCTTTTGGTTAGCAGCCAGGGTCTTAACCACTGTACCACAAGGGCTCCTCACACATGGCTATATAAATTTAAAATTAAGTTAAAATTTTATAGTACTTAAAATTTTTAGCTCCTTAGCTACCAATTGGGTAGAATATTTCCAGCATCATGGAAAGTTCTCTTGGGCAGCGCTGCCCTAGAGATTCTGATTCTGTAGGTCTGAGTTGTTCCAGATTTGGCAGTCTCTTTAGAGATGACCTATATAGTTAGGCAGATTTGTAACTACTTGAGTGACTCTTCAGTTTTTGGCTCCTGTTATTTTCCCATGTAATTCTTTGTTTCCGCCAGTCTGTTTGTTAGTGCTCTGTGAAAGTCCCTCACAATCTCCCTTCTTCCTCTGTGCTTTTGTTCCTACCTACTTTTGGGGGGTATTATTGGTTGGTTGCTTTCTCAGCATCTGTTCTCCCTTGCTGTCTATCAGAGCACTGGCTTCTTCAGATGCCTGCTTTCCCTCACAGCTATGTGCCTGAGGTGAAGCTGACCCCATCCTCAGCTCCAAGGGTGTACCTGATTGACAAGGGGAATGGATTTTCTTTTAACCAACAGTGGTTCAGGAATGGACTTGTAACCCTGTGTCATGCGAGGATGGGAAGTCTGTAAGTGGGTAACTATGGAGAGTTTCCTTACTGCTGGGAAGAGAAAGTTTCTTTTCTTCTTTTGGATATTGTGTATAGATGTGATCCCTAATCCTGCTAGAGCCGTTTTGCTGTCAGCTTGCGGATAAAGTCACCATCAAGGATATCAGAGCTGTAAGATGGAAAAACCAAAGCCTTTGTTGAGCTGCTGAATAAACCAACTCTGAATCTGCCATTCTTCTGAACTTACTGTGCAATGATAATAAACTTTCTTAAAGCCACTTTTAAGTGTGTTTCTATTACTTGCAGCTAAAAGCATCTTTATTATCCTCCAAAATTTAGTCCAAGTCTCTGCTTCTCTGGGAAAACTTCCAGATAATTTTTGTTCACAATCTTTTTAATTTCATAACACTTTTATAATGTGGCACTCAAACATGATTTCTTTGGTTAACAAATTATAGTCCTTACATTGTTTGATTTCTTGGTCTTGTTTCTTCAACTTAATTGCAAGTTCCTTAGAAGCTCAAACTTCATAGTACCTTGTATATAGATAGCCAAATACCTGTTTTCCCCTGCCTTTCTAAATTTGTGATGAGTACATAGTATAAGCTTATAGAAACATTTGTTGGTGTGCCAGAGTGAAAGTTAACTAAATTAACTTACCAGTCGTTAAAGGTTTTGAAGTAAAGATTTTGTCATTTGCTTTTCCAGTTGTCACCACTAACTGAAGAAGAGAAAACTGCGGAAAAGCAATTAAAATCTCACATGCCAGACTTATGAAGACATGGACTTGGAAAAGGGAGCTCTAACAGAGATGAGATCAATTCCAGAGAAATTTAGGAAATGCCTTGTTAACATTTGCTGATTAGAGGTGGGGGGCTGGTGAGGTTTGGGGTGGATGACTGGATAGTGATGCCTTTCACAATGGGGGGAATGTAAGAAGAAAGGCAGATAGTATATGAATAAAGTTCAGCCAAAAAGATGGAAGAGGAATAAAGGGATTTAAAAATATATTCCCACTTAGTCTTGTGATTTCAGGCAAGAAAATCTCTTTAAACTATTTTGCATCTGTTTTCTTTTTGCATGATTGAGATGTATAACGTATAATGGCCTATTGTAAAAGAATGTTTTATGTACTATCAGTCAAAATGTGAATGAGAATGCTTTCAAAATAAAAGACAAAATATTTGTATTATGTTATCTATCATATATATGTTATCTATACGTATATGTTTTCATTTTTTAAAATGTTGATTGCAGATGTGGTTACATTATGGTGAGACTGCTAATACCCAATATATGACCTGTAGTCTCCCACAAATCTAACTAATATAATAAGCTTACTCCTCTGTGACAGCCTCACTTTTGTTTATTCTTTTCCTATTCCTTCCACCTGCTACTGTTGAGTGGCATGAGCTGTTTTCAAATGCCACCTTTGTTGTCCTTCATCCTATATTACTGTAATATATGAAAGCTAATAATATATGGTAAATGGTAAAGAAATTGAAGTTGTCAAGGATTTCACTCTTCTCAGATCAACAATCAATGCTCATGGAAGCAGCAGTCAAGAAATCAAACGATGTATTACATGGGTAAATCTGCAAACGTCTTCTTTAAAGTGTTAAAAAGCAAAGATGTCATTTTGATGACTAAGGTATGCCTGGTGCAAGCCGTAGTATTTTTTTTTCTTCTAAATTTTATTTATTTTGTTGTTGAGAATATACACAGCAAAACATAACACCAATTCAACAGTTTATACATGTACAATTCAGCGACATTGATAACATTCTTCAAGTTGTGCAACCATTCTTACCCACCTTTTTTGAGTGTCACTGTCCCTTAAGGTTCCTATCTAATCTTTCAAGTTTGTATTGTCAGTTTGATCCCATATAGATAGTTCTTAAAAGAGCATAATGCTCAAGGCAGACCTTTTTTACTAGTTAAGCTAAACTATTGTTAGGTTTTAAGATGACTTCAGGGGATATTTTTGTTTTTAAGTTTTAAAGATTATCTCAGGGCAATAGTTTTAGGGGTTCATCCACCCTCCGTGGCTCCAGAAAGTCTAGTCCACAAGAATTTTGAAATTCTGCTCTGCCATTTTTCCCCTTTTGATCAGGATTCTTCTATGGAATTTTTGATCAAAATGTTCAGTAATGACAGCTGGGCACCATCCAGTTCTTCTGGTCTCATGGCAAAAGGGGCAGTTGTTCATGGAAGTAATTAGCCACACGTTCTATATCGTTCTCCTATTCCTGACTCTCCTATCTCTGTTGCTCCGGGTGAATAGAGAGCAATTGTGCCTTGGATGGCTGCTTGCATGCTTTTAGGACCCCAGGTACTACGCAACAAAGTAGGAGGCAGAACAGAAGCACTAAACATTTTATTAGGCCAATTAACTGGGATGTCCCATGAAACCATGACCCTAAACCTCCAAACCAAGGAACCAAATCCCATGAGGTTTTTGGTTGTACATAAGCAGACTCATAGTGACCCTATAGGACAGAGTAGAACTGCCCCACAGGGTTTCCAAGGAGTGGCTGGTGCATATGAACTGCCAACCTTTTGGTTAGTAGACGCAGCTGTTAACTACTGTGTCATCAGTTGCTATGAGTCGAAATTGACTCGATGGCAACGACTTTGTTTTTTTCGGGGGTTTTAAGCAGCCTTAGGAGCTCCTCTTTTTTGTTGTTCTTGTTGTAAATACATCTATGATACAACTTCTGCCAATTCAACTTTTTACAAGTGTCCAAGCCATGGTATTTTCAGTTGCCTCATGCATGCAAAAGGTGGACAATGAAAAAGGAAGATCGGAGAAGAACTGATGCATTTGAATTGTGGTGTTGGTGAAGAATATTGAATATACCATGGACTGTCAGAGAAATGAACAAATCTGTCTTGGAGCAAGTACAGCCAGAAAGCTCCTTAGAAGTGAGGCAGGCGAGACTTTGTCTCGCTTACTTTGGACATGTCATCAGGAGGGAGCAATCACTGGAGAAAGACATCATGCTTTGTAAAGTAGAGGGTTTTGAAAAAGAACAAGACCCTCAATGAGATGGACTGACACAGTGGCTCAAACAGCAATGAGGATGGTGCAGGACAGGGCAGTGTTTTATTCTGTTATACATAAGGTCTCTATGAGCGGGCGCCGACTCCGGCACCTAACAACAAGAAACTGAATTTGGAGGAGCACTTATCTGCCACTTGTCAGTTTCCATATTTTTAATGTACAATTCAGTGGCATATAGTATATTCACAATGTTGAGCAACCACCAGCTCTATCTAGTTCCAAGACATTAATAATTTTCAGTGAAAGAATTTTTCAATCCTAGATTAATCTTACTAAATTATATCTTTGTCCGTGGCTCACAGGTTTAAAAAAAAATTGTTCCTGCCCACTACTTATAATGCCTGGTATTCAATGACTTCTTTCTAGATTATTGTTGATTTTCTACATGTGTACTCTAGGTTGGCTTAAGTGTAATAAATAGATGTTTGCAACAAATTAGAAAAGGAAAACTAACTTAAAATTAAGAATTCAATTTATACCCTTTGCCTCACTCACACCTTCAATTCTTTCAATCTTTAAACATGTCTTCTGCCAGAAATTTGTAGAAAGCAGACGCAGGTTATAGGAAAGCTTTACCTTTTCCATAGTCCCCATGGCGACAGCTCAACTCAAGTTGCAAGATCTGAAGGGTGGGGTGGGGTGGGGTCTGGGTCTGACGTCTTCGGCTTGTGGACCCCACAGCCCCCTGAGATCGGAAACGACACCTCTCTTTAGGCTTTAGAATCTGGTGCTTTCCAGCTTCTTTTGCTGCAGTAGGTGGGCCCAACCAAACCGACTGCCGTCGAGACCATTACGACTCATAACGACCCTTTAGGCAGGGTAGAACTGCTCCATAGGGTTTCCAAGGATATAATCTTCATGGAAGCTGACTACCACATCTTTCTACCACATGAAGCGGATGGTGGGTTCAAATGCCGACCTTTCGGCTACCAGCCTAGCACTTTCACCACTGCGCCACCAGGGTTCCCTGTAGGTGGGGCAGAAGTCTTAAAAACCTTAGAATCTGGGGCTTCCTCCCAGAGAAAGAAGACCATCAGCTGCAAATACTCTGCACCAGGGTGTCTCAAAATGCGGCCACAGACCACCTACAGCTAAATCGTTGGGAGTGTTTGTTGAAAATGCGGATTTCCTGGGCCCCAACCCTAGAATCATGGATCCGACTACTCAGGGGTGTGGCTCCGTAGTCCGCGTTTTCTTCTAGCACTCCAGGTGGCTCCCGTCTTTGGCGCGCTAAAGTTTGAGACCCACGGAGGACCGCTCCTCCCGGGGGGGCGGGGCGCAACAAACTGCCACGCCCCCGGCTGCCCGCGCCAGCCACTGGTCCCAGGCACGCAACCCTGCAGCTGCTAGCCGTCAAGTCTCGTGTGGCCCCCGAACCGCGGGAACTGAGCCCTCGCCTCTCTTCCCTTCACCTCCCGTAGCGTCTTGCGCGCATGCGCGCCGCGCCTCTCCGCTGCGCAGCGCTTGCAGCTGCCCTGGTTACCGTTGGTGTTTGCGAATTCCCTGCGGCGACTTCTTCGCTTGAAACCTGCGCCGCCATGCTCTAGCAGCGGTTCGATACGCGCGCGCCCGCGTCACGTGGGCCGAGGCTCCCTCGCTGTCTCAAGCGGGCGGCTGAGCCTGGAGAAAGGAGCTGCGGCCACCACTCGCCCTCCCCGTGCGCCCCAGGGCGGGCGCGCGGATAAAAATGGCGAAGTGGGGGTAGCCGGCGCCGAACCCGGAGCGATGGGGCGCGCAGGTGGGGCGGTCGTCGGAGCCTCCTGACGTGGGCTCCGGGCTGTTCTCCGCGGCGGATCTGACCTGGCAACCTCGGGCCGGTGCCTAATAGGTCAGACCACGGACTCCTTGGGTCGCCGAGGGCCCCACCGAGAGCCAGAGGCAATGGATGAACAGAGCGTGGAGGTGAGGGAGTTTGAGGAGGGTGGTGGTTAGTTTCCCCCCGCCATCCGATGAGCGTTCTTTATTCCAGTGTGTCTTGCCCCTCATTCTTCCTCCGGTAGGGCACCCTCACCCAGCCGCTGCCGCTATGGAGAGGGCTGGCCCGGTGCGAAGGGGCGGTACTCGTTCTGCAGCCCTCAGGGGTGCCTTAAGCTCAGAGCTTCCTGCAGTCAGGTGGTGCGTATCCTGGCGTTTTCAAGAATGCCTTGGCACCGGTACTCTACCCTACAGGGTATTGGCAGACTACAGCCTGTGCAGAGCAAAATTGCAAATTCATCAGAGGGACTTGCCGCCGGTTCTTGGGAGTACTAGTTCATCCGTGGATCCAAATCCTCCGAATGGATACTCACCTTTCCGTCTCAGCGGTACATTTTGCAGACTGTTCTGCCCTTTCTTGATTGAATGAGAATATGTTCGTACTATCCCATTTGACTGTAGTTTCTGGAGCAAACTATTCTGTTCGTATCTGACTCTCCAATTAAGCTGTGATTTCAAATGGCTCAAATATTTAAAAAAGGCTAGAAACAGATTCCGTTTCTTGGACATAGTTATGTAGACCTTGCTCATTTTTAATCTTCCAAATACTAAAATACTAAATCTTTGCTTTTTAGTAAGGGCAACTCTCTGCCTAGGTGCTCTGAAGCCAGTAGACTGCCCACTTGAGACTAGTTCACCCAATCGTCTTACTGTCCACCCTGCAGCCAGTTACAGAATCTGCATCTCACAGGTTCTTTTCAGCCCTGCAGAGTCATGATTGAACTCAAAATTAATTTTCTCGTTGATTCCTCATGTGAAAATATTATAAAGGGTTTGTAAACTCAGCTTGGTTTTAGAACGATTTAATGTTCCTGGAATGGAGTAAAAATAAACGTCCTATATATGTGTGTGTGTATAATTAAAGTGCATTTAATTATATCTGTTTTCTTCTTATAACTTGTCAGTTACTTCCTACGTTGATCTAAGGTTTGCAATGATAATACTGTTTCTTCAGTTTATGTAATTTTTTTTTCCGCTTATAAAACTACCACCAAAATTCTCAGTAGGGTCAGAATCTCAGGTTCAAATAATTAGCTAGTTGGTTGCAGCATCAGGGCAGAAATACATATTTCTCCATTCTTAGTTGATTTCTTTCTGGAACAGAGTACACTGCCATTAGGATAAGTATCTTTTTAAAAAGTTTTTTTTTTTTTAAAATCATAGAAGTAATTTATCCGCTTTGGTAAAATTGCAGAATAAGTAAAGTGTTCATATTGTGCATTCAGTCATATAGTCTGCTTTTTTCCTGTGTCATTAAATAACTTGAGAAATATTTCTGGTAACTGTGCATAGTCCATATGTAACTGCCATAATTAATCATTACTCTAATGTTTGAACATTAGGGCCATAGTCAGATTTTTACCATTATAATTAATGTTTCAGTGAAAATATTTATGCATAAATCTATGTTTGCATTTTATATCCTTGCCTTAGAATAGAACTACTGTGAAGCTTACAAAAAAAAGGAAGCACTTTTTCCGGGACATGTTCTAAGATACCCTGGACCTTGACTAATGAAATCCTGATATGGATTATAGTTAAGTCCGAGATGTTATTAGTCTAAAGTAAATATAAATGTCCAGTGAATTAAGTATGCTTTTCACTCTTGATTCAGTAGCCTAATCTGGTGGACCTTACATCTTTTATTATTGTCAGAGCATTGCTGAGGTT